AAGAATCGCGTTCTCTAAAAATAAAACAAGAATCGCGTTCTGTGAAGAATAACGAGAATCACATTCTGTCAACTGTCATGGGAATTGCCTTTTGTCAATAATAGCGCTCTGTCAAGAAACCCGAGAATCGCGTTCTGCCATGTAACACCTGAATCACGTTCTTTCAAGTATCAAGAGAATCACTTTCTAATATAAATTAAGTTGAAATCCCTTTTGTTCGATGACGGTGTTTGATCGCTTAAAAATGTTAAAATTAAAGTTTTCCGTATTATTCCTTATAACTATAAACGTTACATTTAATAAATATCGTTTATAGTAATAAAAAAAAGAATACCTAATGAAAAGATCCCATCACAAATAACTGTTTTTTACGCTTCAGGTACGACATTGAATCGAGTAGATTTAAATTCTTATGAGTAGTAACGAGGAAAAAGTGCTCTCCTTTAATAGGCAATTCAAACCGTGGCGAAAACGACAGTGGAAAGTTTTGGCTAAAAAAATGTGGTTTTCTTGATTGGAAAAAGGGATGCAGTTTCCATTCCTGTCGGAGACGCAATCTTTCTAATCCGTGCATGACAAAACCTTGCTTACAAAGTTCGATCTCTAAATCTTCTCAAATGTGCAGTCCGATAGACGGAATGTACATTGTTTAAAGTAAAACATGACGTTTACTTAAAATACGTGTGTCAACTATTATAACGTTTAACGTATTTGTATACTATATATATATATATATATATATATATATATATATATATATATATATTTATTCTCGGTAGTGGATGCGCACTGCTGATGAGTCCCAAATATAGGACGAAACGGCCGTCCAGTGCTTTTCTGCATTCTGTTGAGGTTTCGATCAGACTCTCGATGAATTAATTAAATATAATTATCTCAAATCTTTCTAATTTCTAACATATATATATATATATATATGTGTGTGTGTGTGTGTGTGTGTGTGTGTGTGTGTGTGTGATTGATTGAATAAATTACAGACATTATGTCTGTTAATTTTTAGCAATATATATATATATATATATATATATATATATATATATATATATATATATATATATATGCCAACAGATTTGGTTAAATAATTCAGACATACTATAACTTTTATTTTGTTTTAATCCTTTCGAGTCCACGAATTAATTTCTTGGTGGCCGTAAGAAAGATGGGTTAAGAGAAATACCAAAATTTTCTTTCAAATAATTTTTATTTCCCCGAGAACTTTTAATTTCATCTGGGAGCATCTTCAGGAGGTTAAATCGTTTATGGATGTGTATACGTATTTCCGCACATTCAAAATATTTTTCCCTGTTCGTTTTTCTATGTTTTGCTGCGTTACAGCGTCAATTAAAAATTCAAGAGGCATGCACTTCGAAAAATAAAAATTATTTGAAAGAACATTTTTGTTTTTAATCAATTGTCTACGGACACCGAAAAATCCATTCGTAGCCTCAAAAGGATTAAAACTAAAATAAATTGACATAATACGTCTAAATTATTTAACCAAAACATGCTTGAATTAAAACATGCTTCCTATATATATTTTGAGACATTTTTATGTTTATACATTCTTTTTATAGATACAAAAATGCTCTGTTTATAATAAACAGTATTAACAACATTTACCGGCGGGAATTTTCATAGAACATATGCATCCTCCGACAGGAATCGAACCTGTATCCTATACGGAACAATCATAGAGTCTGACGTGCTTTTTCCGATTTCGCCACAGAGGAGCGTTTCGGTTAACAAGGTCGATTTTACTGTTTTTAAACTACAATTCACCATGATTTTCCCACGTACATTCATATCTGTTCGGTGCATATCCTAATGTAAACAAATGACGTCACATATTATAACATGAACAAAGTCTTAAAATAATTGTCGGACTTTGTTCATTTCCTAATATATATATATATATATATATATATATATATATATATATATATATATATATATTATGGGATAGGAAAAGTTTATTATTCTAAGATTGTTCAATTTGTATGCACTCAACCTGAGTACTATGTGTTGTGCGACAAACATCGAAATCGTATTCCATTTGTTGCCACACTCGAATCAATTGATCTCTGGATATTGATTTCACAGATCCAACTATTCGATACCTCAAGAGTAGCAGGCATAGGTGAAACAGGCACTCTTTTATAAACCCACACAGAAAAAATTCCATAGGATAAGACCAGGACACAGACGATTAACAAAAGCCATTTTAAGGGAAGACATATCTAGTAATATATTGAATAAATTTCCGTCTCTTAGCACTTGCTTTTTATAAAATTCTCGAAATCTTTCTTTTTGAATAGCCTTATATATATATATATATATATATATATATATATATATATATTAATCTAAATTATTTGCTCTGGATTTACATTGAACTCTCTGTATTTTATCCTCCTTGGGTCTACTCATACAGATTACCTAGTTTTTCATTAATTAAATATATATATATATATATATATATATATATATATGTGTGTGTGTGTGTGTGTGTGTGTGTGTGTGTGTGTGTGTGTGTGCGTGCGTGCGTGTGAAAAGTGAATGTATAT